GTATCTGAGGATCGGGACAGGGGGGTTAGGCGACTGCAGTTAGGCTAAGGAGGAGTGTTGGGGCTCGGAGGAGTGGTTGGACTTGAGGAGGGAGATTGGTGCTATGAGGTGGAGGGTCGTCAGGAGGGGTTACTTCGGCAGTTTGAGTTCGCTGATCAAGCTGTCAGCTGGCCGCCATTGCGGGGCCCTCAGGCGAACCAAGATAACAAGACCCCCTCACGCGAGTCTGAGTGCATCCCTCTGAGAGTCTCTAAACCTTCTTTATCTGCCTTCCTTACTCCTAGTCTAGTCTATTGGTTACGAGGGGAAGGCGGCAGGCGGGATTGCAACCCGTAGGTCCACATCAAGACTCTGTGGGGAGTCCACCCACCGATTGTGGGAGCTCTGCCAGAACCTAGGCGAGGTTCCGGAGGCAGGGAACCATCAAGTGATCTCTTTCTATCTGTATACCCCACTACACCCATGTTGTTTATCCCCCATAGCTTGACTGATGTATGCTTGCCTGTCCCTATGGTTGTTGCTTTTTATTCGAGACTTAATCAGACAAAGTAAATGAGGGCATGTATAAAGTCAAGTTCCAACTTCTTTGATTGATTGAAAGCAGATTGTGAGATTGCATCTGGGGGAAGGGTGGGAGAAAGACAGTTTTGCATGAGTCTGAATGGGTCAACCAAAGGCTGGGCCAGTTCCATAAGTTTGGGAAGGCCCAGTGTTATGTTTCCTTGGTATTGCTTTTAGAACCAGACATGTTCCATAAGTTTGGGAGGTCTGGTTGCTCTGACTTGTGAGGGCTGAATGTGATTGCTTTTTCAGGAGCTAGTCAAATCCATAAGTTTGGGTAGTCTGGCGGCCTTGTTTATTTGGGGGTTTTGACAGTTTCTTTGGTTTCTGATCGAGGAGGTGAACATGTCCCATAAGTTTGGGTGGCTCAACCTCTTCCTGCTTTGGTTTAAGAGAAATAAACCAGGCTGAGGACCAAGACATGTTCCATAAGTTTGGGTGGTCTTGGCCCAACGCCTCGCACATGCTGGAACCGGAAGGCTGTAACTTTGATATACTTTACTATTATACTATCTATGAATAGGCTAGTCAGGCAGGGTTCCATAAATTTGGGTGGCCTGACTATAGCTCATCACCAACTGAAGAGAGTACTTAACTAAGAATAAACTTGTGGTACGAAGGGGCAGGCTGAGTCTTGAGCTGAAGATGATCGGCTCAGCTATATGCTACCTCAAAAGACTAAGTACAGACAATTATATAAACCTTGGATACTTAAGCAGTTCAGGGCGACTAGGATGGCCTAGTCATATGCCCAAAGAAGAGAAAAGTTGGTGTGCCCTGTGTTTGGGTATATTTCTTGGCTGGGCTAGACATGTTCCATAAGTTTGGGTGGTCTAGCCTTATGCCCTATGTAAGCTGGGTATAAGGGATAAATCATTGAAAGACTACGAACTGTTGGTTGCTAAGGTAACTTGGGGATGGTGAGAGAGTGCATGTCTGTGGTTTGGCCTGCATGTGACTGAGTGATGCCACTTCTTAGTCTGAACTTGGATTTGATAGGTAGTTGCTCGCCACGTGCTAGAGCCATAGGAGTTAGAGTCATTTCCTGCATTTTCTGGGCTCGTTTTTTTTACTTAGATCCATTTCTGCAGTTCTATGATCCTTTACGTATACTTGGTCTTATATAAATCATTGGTAAGCCACTTTCACTACGGGAAGCGCTGCCGAAATTTCTACAAAATCAATGAGTTAGTCAAAACTTTGACTCTTTCAGGATCCAGACTGGATGACTTCTTTGACTTAGTAAGAATCTGGGGAGCCTCCTTTCCTAAAGGAGGTGCTGCCCAAATTTTTACTAATTTAGGGAGTTAGCCAAAATTGGGCCCTGAAGGGTCAAAGTCATTGTCAGGTCCCAAAACTTGGCCTTGTATAAATCTTGGACTAGCACTTTCCCTACGGGAAGCGCTGCCGAAATTTCTACAAAGCTAAGAAGTTGGTTGAGGTTTTGTCGTGACAGGGCCTAGACGTTATGTCGAAGTTCAAGTCTGACTTAGTATAGATCTAGGGGGGTCTTCCTCTCTGAAGGAAATGCTACCCACATCTTTACTAGGTCAGGGAGTTAGACAAATTTTGACTTTCTGGAACCCAAAGATTTGGCTTTTGGACTAGTATATTTTTTGCGATGTCACTTTTCCTACGGGAAGCGCTGCCGAAATTTTCCTAAGTTAGAGGAGTTAGCCTATATTTGGACAAGTGACGACATATGTAGGGAAGGCTATGACGAGGTCCCCCTTACGCTGAGTGCTATCTAGAGGTGGACCTAGACTTGGTTAGATATGACGGCTCGAGTAGGGTTAGGATGTGGAGATCACTCTCCCTGAGCGTGTAGACTTAGCTTGAGATTGGTCTGGCTTTAACACAGGTCTCTTGGATCAAGTCGCTTCGGGACAGGGGCTAGATTTAGCTTTGATCCTGCAAGGATCACCTTCTGTTATCACTGATGGCAGGTCAGTTGTCGACTCGTCGGTTTACGACTCGACCTCAACCCACTCTCCCTACTCAACCTAAATAGGCTTCAACCCCGGAGGTCTTTTCTGTTTTGTTAAGGTTTCACCCAGACTTTTATTGAATGGCCATTTAACAAAGGTACTGAGTATTTACTTAAGGTTGGTTTGCTGGAGGTTGGGGCTTGCATAGTTGAGGTGAAGGGTATGAGCATGGAGATTGTTTGGAGTTGACTCCGTGTAGTGTATGGACTTCTGCTTGACTCTTTGATGTGATTGCAGGTATGTTCTGTGACCTAGATTATTGGATTGGATTGCCCTGCGATTCTATATATGTGCATGAGGAGACCCACAGTGATTGTGAGATGTGATTGTCACACGTTTAGTCCCATATCTGTATATATGTGTGGGTATGTGTATGTATGCGTACCTATGTAGGGTACTTGCATGGCCTCAAGGGTCCGCGTGCTAAGGACCTAATATAGGGTTGGCAGGAATAGAAGGGAGGAAATGACCCCTCTATTTATATATACGCTTCTGAAGAAATTGTGGTCGGATGTTAGCCCTGAGCCTAGAGACTGATGTTCCTCGCCCAGGACGACCCAGGTCCCAGGACTAGCTCTGAAAGGGTTCACTTCCAGTACAAGTCGAAGGTACTTTCCTCGTTGAGATTTATTTTGGTGGAACGATAAAGTTTCGGGCGGAAGGGTCAGCGTATCCCTGGTGATGCGTCAGACAACTCACCACCGCTCCAAACCCCTTCCTGCCCTAGGGGCCGTCTACCCCGCACCCTTTGGGACACCTCAGGTTGCAGAAGGCGATAAAGCCCTCTCGCCGGTTTTTTGCGCCCGCTAAAGGGTTACCCCCCCGTAGCGCGCACTTCAGTCGACGCCTGAGCATCGGAAGCAACCGCATGGCTCAGAATAGGCCATTTGGGTATGGGCACCACATAATGCGCCGTCATCGCAGTTACCCACGTAGTGCTGCATAGTGAGATGGTATGTGTAAGTCCGTCGTCCGCACTCACCGATTCTCGCACTAAAAAGTTATGGGCCAGGCGGCGAGGCCACGAGCGTGACTCGGTCAATAGACTCGGGGTTTCGGTATCGCGAAGCGGCACGTGGGCGAGGGACTAGTCCCAGTCGGCCTATGGGAGTCCGTGTACGGGCCTCACTATCCCGGACATCGGGTAGCCTACGGGTAGGATACCGGGCCTCCTCCGTGCGCGCGTCGTTTGGGCCTGTCTACCCCTTCCTTTCTAGGAGGCCATTAAACTAATAAGAGTTGGAGTGAGTTTTCATTTTTGAGCTTTCATGGTTGGACGTTATAGTCCGTGGCAGCCGTCAAAGTCAAACCCCTTGATGTTTGACCGCCACGACAACTTAAAGTTGTCTATTCAACTCCTCTGCACAGGGTGCACAAGAGGGTGTGGTCTCCAACCGCATATGGCGGTTGTCCGGCGTCGAGAGATTAACCCTCTAGGCACGTGTCAGCCGACACTTGAGTGTCGAGCACGACCCTCAGGATTAACAAGGGCCACGTGAGTACGGATACTACATAGTACGCCATCATTGCGACCGCTTGCGTACGGTTGTATTACAAGTCGATGTGAGTAGTCCTGTGTCCGCGCGGCTTTATGCCGAGCCTCCCGTGCGACGCCTACCCGACTTCCGCATTGAAGAGTTATGGGATGGTTACCAAGGGGCTAGGAGCGTTGTCGTGTAGTTTGTGTTGTGTCGTTTTGTGTGTATGTGTGTGTGTCGTTGTTTGCGTCTGTTGGAGTAGGGTGCGCGTGGTGTGTGGGATGCGTCCTAGTCGACCGGCGTCGAGCCGCGCCTGGGACTTCAGCCCCCCCAAGATGTCAGTTCGCGTGCGGGTCCGATAGGCGTATTACCGCGCGTACCCCCTATGCTACGGCAAACGAGAAACACCCTCGGCTGGTCCACCTTTGCGATTGCAACCGAGTAGCTTTCATACTGTGGACTGGTAGCTCGGCGGGGATACGCCCACTGAAGGGAGGTGACAGCTCCTGCAAGGTGGAGGTAAGTTGTGCCTCGCGTAGGCCCTATCCTGTCGTAGGGGCTCGCGAGAGGTATGACTGGCGCACTCGGCCGGAGCGGCCTAAGGAAGCTCCATTTGTGTGTTCACGGCAAGGTTGGTCCAACTCCTGTGTGACGCGGCCGAGAGGGTCCCGCACTACCTCTGAATAGTGCCGGACCGATGCGCCCGACAGGTGGCGCCGTTGCCGGGGATGGCGGTTGCCTGCCGTTGTCCCTGGTGGAACGACATCTGGGTATTAGGATAAGGAAGAAATCAGGCATGAGTGGGAGATTTGAAGTGAGTCTGTGAGTAGGGCTATAGGAGAGATTGCATGACGATAGTAACTATGTGGGAAAACTCACAAGCTGGGTAGACCTTGTGAATGTAGGTCTGGGAACGAAAGGGATGTGGGTGTCAGTTAAAGTCGTAAACGCCCAAGGGCTAAGTGGTTAGCTCGATAGGCTTATGCTGGAGTGAGAGTGTTGAATAAAGTTGCCTTTGTACCTCGTCTTACTACAGGGAAGTTAAGTGAAGGACAAACTGCTAAAATGACAGGCAGCATAGGCGACAGTTCAGGCAGGGTCCTGACCCTCGATGATCTCATTGAGGCGATGGATAAGCGGGAGAGAATGCTGAGGAGTGTCCCCAAAGTCGACACCTTCCACTTCAATGGGGAACGAGTCTCTGAATGGCTGGACCTAGTGGAGCAAGCCTTGGTGGGAGTACCAGAAGAGACGAAATTCAAACGCATCCTGGAGTATGTGCTCCATAAGCACCATCCGGAAGTGCAGAAGGTGGTCGACGACGCTAACGGCGACTGGGCTAAATTTAAGGAAGGAATGCAACGGAAGTATAGGTTGGGGGATGGCTTGCTGACTATGGCGGACCTAGAGGCAATGAATAGGGACAACTTCACATCCATTGGGGCGTTCCTGCAAGAATTCAAAAAGAAGGCGAGAAAGGTACATGGGATATCAGAGGAGGCGCAGTGCTCCGTCTTCCTGGGACTGCTCACCGCATCTGAGACAGTTGAGCTAACAAGCCATGGGGGAGGAAATGCCAAACTCACCTGGGCCACCATTGACAGAGGAGTGGAGGTCGGAGGCCTCGACCAAGTTGAGCAGCACCAGGTGAGGTTGCAAAGGTAGAAGAGGAAGGAAAGGGATGCGCCTGGGACGCCAGGAGTAAAGAAGATCATAACCGACGTGCTAGCAGGGCTAGACCCGCTGATACAGCGGAAGCTGACGGCGACAATCCAATAAAAGGGCAAGGGGGCCGCGGTGGAGGAGGCTACCCAGGAAGGATGGTAAGAGGAGGAGCCGGTACCTCCACACCTTACGAAGGCGCAGCGTAAGCAGCGCAATCTAGCACAAGGCGGACAAGGGTCAGGAAAGGGCCAGGCACCTCAAGTAGTGGTAGCGGCATCTCCAAGTTTGTCTGGGCCGTCAAGTAGTGCGGGCCCGTCGCAAGAACCAGTGCCAACAATTGGGCACTGGCCGTGGCCCCTGATTAATACCTATGTACCCTGGGGTGGCCCAGCGCCGTCTGGACAGGTAGTACCCTACGCTGGGCCCCAAACAAGCATGTCACCTCTGAGCTACCCCGCCGCCCAGACTCAGCCAACGGTACCACCTGCACCGACGCCCACACAAAGTTCACAAGGCAGTGTGACGGGTGGTGGTAACCAAGGCCATGGGAACCAAGGGAATGGAGGAAGGTGCGGTGGACGAGGACGTGGCAGGAATGGTGGTGGTCGAGGAGGCCAATGGGGCAACCAAGGTGGCCAAGGCAATCAAGGCGGCCAAGGCAACCAAGGGGGCCGAGGTGGTGGAAGGGCCCGATTTGATTAGAGGACTGCCATATGTCAGCATTGTGACCAGCAAGGTCACACTATACGGTTTTGCAACATACGGAGAGAGGACGAGAAAAATGGAGTGATTTATTCTAATATGGATGGGGACATTTACGACCAATTTGGAAATTTTATTGATAGGAAGGCTGGTGGGGTTAGGGCGGAGGCCCAACGAAGGTTGGCAGCACGACAACCACCCCCTGCCACGTTCAGGCTATGGCAGGAGAAGGAAGGACTGCCAGTTTGAGTTGAGGAAGTAGGAAGTGACGAGGAAGTAACCCAGCGGCTACAGGCCGGGGGTGTAAGAGAGGAGCCCATAATCATCGAGTCGGACGATGAGGGTGACGGTGAAGAGGTAAAGTCGGCGGTAGTCCTGCTGAATAAGATGGAGGACTTATTGGACAAGGTAGGGAGATACCAACGGAAGTTGGTAGATCTCTACGAAGGAGTGAAGGAGAGGAGGGCTAACCTCCCCAAGGTCTTCCATTATGACTCTGGTCCGGAATCCATGTTGGGGCGGCCCGGAGTGACCACTATGGGGACGGACCCACGATCAGGGATGATGACTAGGCCACCTACCCCGCAAGCTAGGCTGGCTCAGGCAGCCTGCACTCGAAGTCAAGCCAAGGCAGGTACGAGTCAAGAACCTCATCGGAAGGAACCAGAACCAGAAAAGAGAAAGGCAGGTACTAACTGCTACTAACTCTAATATCGAAGTCACTGGTTCGAGTCCCGCTTGTCCGAAACCGGAGAAAACAAGTAGAGCTCCCCCCTTCCAAAAAGGGAGCTACCTTAGACGTCAACTGCATTCGTTCCCTGGATCCGCCGCTTAACAGCCTATACCTAAACCTACTAAGCTAGCTTCCACTTCGGGTAAAAAGGGAGCAGGCTCAGTATCTATACAGCAGCGGGCTCAGTCCGCCTAGTGACCCGAGCTGGTTGCTCAGTCTGCGGGTGCGCATGCTTGCCGGACTGCCTGTGTGCTTGCCGGCTTATGTATGTGTGTGGCCCGCAAAGGCTTAGCTGCTCAGAAGGCCCGTAGGCCCGGAACTTACCTGCGGCTGAGACATTGAAGGTCGTCGCGGGGAAAACACACAAGTGACGGGCAGCCCATACCTACACTAAGTAGGGGTAGATGTGCCGGGTACTCGAGGTCGAACAGAAGTTGGCATTTTTAGAGGCCTAGTATCGTTAGGTAAGTGGTACTAGGTCAAGTAGTCTCAGTCTAGGCCTCGTGCGGACGATATCAGAACTTGCAACGGTGTCTTCTTCTGCAGAAGGATGAAGGCACCGGTCGCTAGGGTAATCATGCGGTCAGGAAGTCACCTCCCCAGGGTGATTCTCTTTCTACCTACGGGAGGCTGAGTTAGAACCTCAACCTCGCTTATGGTGCACTAGTAAGGATAAAGGTATCGCTCGTGTAAACGTCTACAATCGGGCACTACCTCAACCCCGATAATCATACACCAATAATCGCTCCGGTCGTACGACCGGGGCGCGTATTAATTTATTCTGACTAATGTACTAACGATTAAGTCTCAGCGTATATCGTAGATCTACTTCTCATAACATCAACCCTATCGACCCCTCAACCTCTTCGGTCGAAGGGTATTACTGCAAATCCTAACGTTCACAGCGTGCGTCATAACAACGCGCGCCCATACTTAACGAAATTTTCTCACCGATTTTGCCCCGGCCTCAATGGCCGAGGAATTCGTTTCGAGTGTCACGCTCAAGCGTGCACACCCCTTTTATTTCAGACTGGCTCCATCATGGTAGCTGACGCCGTCACTGTGTCGAATGCAAAAGCATGGCCAAATACCCTTGTAAGGGTATTTGGTCCGACAGTATCCAAGACCCCATTAAGCGATGTCCCCGTCGCTGGAGAACTATATGCAAATAAAAGATGTTTTCCGACAAGCAAATCGTCAAATCCGAATCCTGGAATGAAATGTGGTTTTAGGATTGACGTCGTCACCTTACTTTTTATTATTACTGTCGGGATATTAACCCGGGTCTCCCACATAAAATATAATGACTGGAAGTGGGGATACTTGATCTGTACTACAGTACATGAAATAATTAAGTATGACAACGCACCTTTTCTTCCCCCACACCCTTAGTCTTTGGTCCAGGTATTCATTGGTTGTTTTCAGGGCTGGTATTCGCGTACGAACTCAACCCGTCAAACGCGGGTCCTAACCGAGACCTTGGGTGTTCAACTCTTGATATCACAATCCAAAGTTGTCTGTTATCCTGCCCGAAGCCTAATACAGGAGGACAACGATCTCCATCATGACCCACCACAGTCTTGCTGATCAGGCCGGAGCTGCGGCCCACCACGTTGTTCCTTATCGGTGGTTACCCGTGTTGGTTACGCAATGATGGGATATTCATCCTATCTTTAAAATTTACTAATCTCGAGCCCTTCGACATCCACCTGAATAGATCCTTTCATTGGGGTGACCACCCCTCTAGTTTCTCTTCTAGGCCATAGTCGAAGGGTCCGCTGCCTGGTTATGCTAGGTCAGCAGCCCACGCTGGGAGTTACGTTCCAACGATGACAATTTTTCACCATAGGCTTGGTAATTTATGCCCTCAGGTTAACCCTTGAGGTGGATGAACGATGCTTTTTAAATAAACCAAATAAATGAGATTTCTAATAATTGAGCATTCGTCAGGCTGCCACTCAGGGTTGTGCCTTCCAAGTCTTTGATCATAGCTTGGTGAGACACGCACCTCAGGGTCATTTTGAAACCATTATTTATATATATATAACCATTATTTTTAAAATAAACTTTTATTGACTCTTTGCTTGTCAGAATCCACAAAAAAAACACCACTTCATAAAGATTGTCAAAGAATTTCTGCAACAAAATTGATAAGACTCAAAAGAGTCTATTCATGTCATAGCATGGTCTCAAACAAGAAATGTACAATCAATCCAGCTTTTGAAGTTTCACAACACTCATCAAACTTTCACATGAAATACAGATCCGCCCGTTCCTCCACCATCATCTTTAGGCCTCAGACGAGTCCAATAGTGATAGAGAAAGGGAAGTACTGACTCACCTCAAATAGTGATAGAGACCTCAAATGTCCATACATCTTTAGGCCTCAGACGAGTCCAATAGTGATAGAGACCTCAAATGTCCAATAGTGATAGAGAAAGGGAAGTACTGACTCACATCAAACTTGCGACTCATCTCTCTCATCCTTATACTTATCCTCAAATGTCCTTACATCTTCCTATACTATTATTATCTACTCTAAACCCTTACTCTATCAAACTCAAGGAATAAACAATTGTCCCCTTTTCAGACTGCAATCTACTTACCCATGTTCTCTCTTACCCAACAAACACCTCAATTTCTCTAGAAGTTCATACACCCACTTGTTTCTAAACTAGGAAGGTACTATCCAACGCCAGTATCTGATGAAGTTTTACCCTGTCACCCTTGGATGTCCTGGGGATTGTCTGTCCAGTGCTGACAACCAACCTCGAGTCGGATGACGCGGATTGAGAGATGACAGGAGGGTCAGGACTGTGAGGTGTTGGCCGGGACCCTGGTTGGCAGGTGAGAGGAAGGACGGTCAATTGTTTCATTCTTGAGCAGAGAAAAGGTGGTGAATAAGGTCCGAAGCAAGGACGGTTAGGTGGTTCGATACGTGGAGGAGACGCGTCGTAACTTCCTTCATACTTATACGAATAATAGTCATCTCTTCTAAGGGTCGGCGTACACTTGCGCCAGTTGTTCTGATGCCCGTTCGCCCTTATCCCCTTTATCCTTCATTCTAGTCCTTCGTCTGCCTCCCTCTAATCTTCTCATTTCCTCGCTCAGATCTATAAGCCTCTCGGCAGCCTTCCCTTACCTTCATATTTTTCCTCCCCCAGTACAAGTCTGACGACCTTTGGATGCCATATTAATGTGAAGGCAATCGTTTGACATTAGAGTCTTTAAAGTTATCTGACCCAATATCGTCAGTCTTAGAGAGATTCTAGATAACCTTAAATTACTATCAATGAAATACTTCTCCGTTCACTCTCTAGGGTGAACCTTGTCACAAGTTCTCACTAACTGTCACCTTACTTGTACCACCTATTTGTTCCTAGTACCTATTCTGTTCTATAAATCCCTAAGTGGTTTATATGCAATGACCACTTACGTAATCCCTACTCGGAATCCTTGATCAAATTATATCTCGGTAATTAGACTAGAGTTGTCGTTTTGCCTAGATCATCGACTTGCCAAACCCGAGTTTGTTAACTGAGGACCTCGGCTAGGAAGCGAGATCCCCAGCAACGGGTTAACCCGTTGCCGGTGGGCATCTTGCATTAATAATGATAATC